TCGGAGGCCATCTATAATTAAAACAGGATTATAGATGGCAGACAGTTGGCGTCGTAAGCCACCGGCTCTGTTTGACCATCTTTGAACAGAGGCACATGATAGGGCGGGGCTAGGTTTCACAATGAGCTCACCCGAAACCCTGCCTGATTGTGACCCACACCCGCTTTCACACCTTGGCTCACGTGATTAGGTAGAGGATCATCAAGGGGTCCTTTTGTCCCTCTTTGGGGGGATACTCCCACGGGGTTTAAATGTGGGACTCTCCACTATTTTACCCTAGAACTGAAGAAGCTTCTCGGATGAGAGGTGAAACGTCTTCAAGCAACTTAAAGAAGTCCAGACGCTTTTCTTTCCAAGATCCTTAGACTACGATGACCTGGATGACTGAGAACCTTCACAGACAATGCCCAACACAGGCTTTACTTTCTAAGGAAGTTAAAGCAAGCTCACCTCCCTTGTCAACTGCTGACCAACTTCAACAGTCAGCAATTGAAAGTCTTTAGACTTACTGTTGCATGTTGTGGTTCGCCAGCTGCAGAAACCTTAAAGGATCCGCAATGGGTGGTGAATGCAGCAGAGCGTATCATTAGTGCAACTCTAACCCCCTCAGTGATATTCACACTACCTACCAAAAGAAAGACAGCTGGATTATAATGGACCACACCCAACCCAGACCTCACTTATTCTTTCCCTTGCCCTCTAGGAAAGTTTTCAGGTCAATAAAGTTCAAAAGCAATAGACTAATAAACAGTTTCTTTCAACTGGCAATACCCCTCCCTAAGATAATTGTATTGAATCTGGAAACACATTTTTAACATGCCATTCTCTCCTCCTGTGACACTCATTTATTAAACTGTGTCAACAAATCACTATTTCTCCCTCTCCTAGTTCACTTAAACACAAGGTGATTTACAGACTAAATTTGATCTTATTCCCACTAGGGATGCAGAGCGACTTCTTTTATGATCATCCTCACATATAATCCCTCAGATAAAAGATTCATCGGGCACATTGCATGGGTATTCCACCACTATTAATGCAGTTTTTCACTCATTTTATTTGTCTTTATATCAATCTGAATCTCCATCTGACTCCACTGAAATTAGTTAATTTCTAGACACCCCTAGATATGATAAACTCAGATGCTGCTAAAGAACTTGGGAAGCATGAGAAGCATACGAAGTAATAGATCTCCCGGTCTGGACAGATTCCCTGTTGAAGTCTTTAAAAAATGTCAGGATAATCTGTCCCCATTACTGCTTGCGGTATGTAAGGAATCATTGCAACATGACACTCTCCCCCCTACTCTAACACAAGCTTCAATAAGTCTCTTAAAATAAGATAAGGGCACAAATCTTTGCATCTTAGAGACCTCTCTTCTTAATGATGTGAATGCCAAGATCATTGCTAAAGCTTTGGCATGTTGTCTGGAAAATATTGTACGAACTATTGTTTCACAGGAGCAAACTAGATTTGTTAAGGGGAGGCAACTATTTTTTCATCTCTGTACACTGTTAAACATCATCTACTCTAAAACTACCACAACAACACCTGAATTAGTGATCTCAGTCGACGCTGAGAAAGTAAATTTGGGTTGGGAAATGTATTTATTTCCTGGATACATCTCCTTTATACATCTCCTCTGTCACAGTGTGCCGAAGCAGACTATGAATTGTGAATAGTCAACCCAAATAAAGACACAAAGGAACTGCATCATGACACTGATTATATCTCACACCAGGGGCGATTTTAACCCACTTTTGGGGGTGCTTCAGCACCCCCAAAATGAATCAAATCACCCCCAAAGATTTCTTACTTTTTTGACAATATTTGCTGTTTGTGTGACACACTACTAAAAATATATAAAGCATACAGTACTTGGTTGAGATGTAACATTTTAACAACAAAAGTATAGATAACCCCCCCTCCCATAATGGTTTGTTCCAGCTCGCCTCTCCCCTGCTCTGGCTCTAGCGCCCTTTCTGCCAGAGCGATGGTGGGTAAGACGCAGCGGAGCGGAGGTGTAAGTGCCTGGCTTAAAACAAGACATATTAGCTACATTTAACCTTCAGTTACTCTTTATATAGTTGGGTAGGAGTCAGACCATGTTTCTTTTTAGCTGAAAAACATTACACCCAGGTAACCTGCAGTGTTGAAAACATGTTTTCCGACGATGTTTGCTACCCTACAATCCGTTCTGTTCTGTAGTAAAATCAGCGACATTTGACCGTCCTGTTGCTCCCGTTGAAATGTATACAGCCTATTTAAAATCTAAAACTTAAAATTGTCCGTAGCCTGCTGTTGTTACCACTGTCCTGTTAGAAATGGATACTAACTAGCTAACTGACTGAATGCCCATTAACCTTATAACTCCTGTGTGTGTGTGTGTGTGTGTGTGTGTGTGTGTGTGTGTGTGTACAGCGAGACAGCCATGTTTATAAGGGATATAAGGAGTTTCAAAAAAAGGAGCCACATTCAGGTAAAAGTGTAAAATCAAATGATCCGAATCAAGAATAATTTGTTGATAGCTGTTCGTATTTATTATTTTCTGAATGTGTTTTGGTTTTTGCTTTTGGTTGAAGTATCTGAGTAGTGGATTTTTGTTAGTGATCTTATGTATTTTTTTTCATTATTAATGTATTTTCAGTCTAATTGATACATCATATTTGTTTGATTTGTCAGTGCTGAATAGGGAGAGAGGAGGAACTGGTTAGGGAAGTAAATGTCAGGAGAAAGGTAAGAAAACAGACAAGGAACAGTGAAGATAGACATGGCATGTTTAAACTTGACAAGAAAAATAAATATTTGTAGCTCACTAGCAATAGAGTTTGTGTTGTCCTATATGTTAGAGCTGTATATCAGAATCAGTAAACAAATGGGTTGAAACATTGGACACTCTTACCAATCATTACCATAAATTGTTATTTGATTGGGGAGATTAAAATTAATTATATATTTTTATGTGGTTCAGCCACAACTCTACTAAAACCTCAGCCAGTAATAGGTAGGCCAACTTTTGGACCGTCCAGTTGTCTGTATGACTGCCGCAGTACGTGCACCACATTTGCACACTATCAGAAAGTGCAAAACAGCCCTGGTGGAGTGAGGAGCTGTAAAGAGAAGCAGAGTGCTCTGTTCTAAAAATCTTTTAAGCTTGTTTCAAAGATTCTGTACTGCAGCTTTAAATGTTTTCCAAAAGCACACATACACTTATCAGTGTTTCTCAAACTTTTTACAGTGTGTACCACCTGATAAAAAATGTCAAGCTCTCCTAAGTACCACTATGAAAGCATGAAACTCATAAATCTTACAACACAGATCCTCCAATATTAATATGTATACCTGACACATGCATGCATACAAAACAAGTCCACCATCTTTCCAGTGGGATTAAGGCCAGGATACCTAAGCTAAGGAAATCCTCGAAAGTTGGTTTTGTTCATCTGGACGTAACAGTTTCCAAGTGACTCCTTCAGTCGACTGAAGAAGTCATATGAGTGATGAAACATTTCCCCCACTAAAAACCCTAGGTCCAGTTGAACAGAATCAGCTTTTTGGACATAATCAGATAGCTTCAAACACCATACAAATCAAGTGAACACCAAGTAGTTGTTTCTGTTATACTTTTGACATGAGGTCTGCCTGAAGGACTCTGGTATTTGGTGTATTGTAATGTATTGAAGCATGGAAAAGTCCTCAAGGTAAAAAAAAACAAAACAACAAAAAACAAACAAACAAAAAAAAACTGGCAGGCATGTATGGGTCTAAGTATAGTCTTGCATTCATTCTCTGATGACTTATTTACACCACTGAAACTCAAATGGACCCAAGTGGATGCAGAAAGACAGACTAACACTGATGTTAGGGGTCATGAAATTAATTAAACAAGCTGACTGAATATTCACAACTATGTACTAAACATTGTGACTGTGTGATATATCTATAAAGTACGAATGTTTGTTACCATAATTTCAGCCTTTAAATTTATTGGTTCCATAGTCCAAAGGATGTTTACCTATTTTTTAGGATATTAATACATTAATGTCTTAAAAATAGCTAAACTAAAAACTAGTCCTTTGTGCTTCAGACCTGCAATACCAGGATCATTCAACTCTTTGACTGACATTGCAACAGTGTTATTGAGCTGAATGGCCCAGGTGCTTTCTATTCAAAGGCAAGCTCTTTAAAGGTAGCTAACACCTCAATCTATTATTTCCCAGGGCCACTGTATGTTTTGTTATATGTTTTTTTTTTTTTTTAAATGAATACAGTCACGAGTCAAAAGGTGTCATTAATAGTAGTGACTTCACCTAAAACTTCTGGCAGCTAGATTCAATAATAGATTATCTATTTGAAAATGAATAATTAACTTCTGCTGGTTGTTTGCTATACATTTTGGAGTTAACAAGAGGAAGTTGGCATATACCTAATTTTATAGAAGCTAAACCATAGGAAATAGATGTCTCAAAGGAAACTGCTAATAAAGGGCACAGAGGGAACTGCTTTTTTCATACTTCCTTGGTTTAAATTTAAAAAGTATTTGTATTACAAGCAGACTGTAACAGATCACTGTGATGTCTACTTTGACTGTTGGGGGAAAGGAACACAAGTCACATTAACCTCTGGTAAGTAACAATCTAATTTATTTTGAGCAGAATTCTGTATTTGTCATTTAATGAAATATTGGTTACACTGTGTGCTTAACTGATATGGACGGTAAAGTAAAACATCTGTGTAAATGACAGGTTTAAACTGTTTATTAGGTTAGTTTTAATCATGTGACAAAAATATTTTTGCACTAAAGTGCAATTGAAATCTGTCACTGTGATGACTACTTTGACTACTGGGGAAAAGGAACAACTGTGACTGTCACAACAGGTAACAAAATATATGTATTTTGTTTTCTACAGAAATGTTTTAATTCCTTTTTTAATTCATTAAATTTAGACTTCAGTGGCATCAAGCGGGTTTTAAAGGAACTTGTTTTTGTGTGTTGGATATACTGAGATATTACACTGTGATAATGCTTTTGATTACTGGGGGAAAGGAACAATGGTCACTGTCACAACAGGTAATTTTTACTCTGGTAGTTAAAACCTTTGTGACCTTTATTTCAATCGGAACATAACTATGTAAACAGTTATTGAGTTTAGAGTGGTTCTAATTATTTACAAATTCAGAAAAATGTTACAAATTAACAGGATATCCGAGAAATTAGTTTTTGTAAGAGGTGCAAAAGACTCCGTTAACTGTGATAACTGGGCTTTCGACTACCGGGGGAGAGGTACAATGGTTACAGTCACAACAGGTAAGGCAATTGAAATATGCCCTTAATCTTAAGATTTTGAATTAGAAACATTGATATTTTTAAAAGAAACTGTGTCAGTGTACACTGTATTCCCACTGTATTTGTAAAATTCTGCAAGTCGAACGTCTGGTAATTTGAAGAAAAAATCAAGTATATCAAGATGGAAAGTCTGTTTTTGTATGAAGTGGTGAATAACTTGTTAGACTGTGACTACGCTTTTGACTACTGGGGAAAAGGCACAATGGTCACCGTCACGTCAGGTATGAATTGATGTATTTTTCACTAAAGACAGAATTTTTTTTTTATCCACTACTACAATGTTGATTCATCTATTGGGATAAATTCAGCAAAGAAAGTCATTATTGGAACACTTTGTAGCCAAAAGAGCAAAGAATTTGTAAAACACTGAACATAGTTTATTTCTTTGTTATAACTATATCAAGAAGTAAGTGTTTCTTTAATTTTCTTTGAGACCAAAAACAGAATGTCGTAGTAATTAATTTTTGTAAGAAATAAGACAAGATTTGGTTAACTGTCATAAATGAGCTTTAGACTACTGAGAAAATGGCATCAAGATAAAAATGTCCTCAGGTAAGACTTCTCCTATGTAAAATCTGTATAGGATATGCAGATTTTTTGATATTATGAATGAACTAGATTCTATACTGTGCTACGGTGTTTTTGACTATTGGGGAAAGGGGACAACAGTCACTGTTTCATCAGGTAAGATTACCATCTCATTTCAGAGATCACTGCTTAAGTTGGATCAAATTTATTGTGTTTTTGTAAGAATTTGCCATCAACACTGTGAAAGGACATTTAACAACTTTACGCTATGCTTTACTAATGACTTTTGTTCATATTCTACATTTAAAGTAATGTTCTGATTTATATGTCGACAAACAGAAGAGTAAACTTATAATAGTATTGGGGAAGGCTGGTGAACCAACTGCCTCTAAAAAATGTTGTAGGGAAGGATTCGGGCACTTGATTTTTTTTTCTATTAAACATTTAGAAACTATAATCTCTTTATTACTCTTTATTAAACAAAAGGATCTGCTCAGGTGTTTTCTCTTTAATCAATTCTAAGTGAAAATGTGTGGTATATATACTGTTATATCTATAGACTGACAGAGAAGTTTAACTTATTAATAATATAATATAATGTGATATAATGTGATATAATATACTGTATAACACTAATGGAGAGTGATTAATAAATTGGGACATAAATCGGGGCATTTGAAATGATAAACATTTAAAATATAATGTCTTTCATGATGGCCTTTATTACGCAACACAATCAGCTCAAGTGTTTTCTCTTTAATCAGTTCTAAGTGAAAATGTCTGGTATATTATTGTATTTCTATTCTGGTATCTTAATTACTGTTGTCTCCCCTTTCTTAGCCACTTCAACTGGACCCACTGTGTTTCCTCTGGTACCATGTGGCACTGAGAGCGGAGATATGGTCACTCTTGGCTGCCTTGCCACTGGCTTTAACCCTCCTGTGGTGACTTTTTTGTGGAGAAAAGGCAGCACTCCCTTGACAGACTTCATCCAGTACCCTGCAGTACAAAAAGGCAATGTTTATACTGGAGTCAGTCAAGTCCGAGTGAGGAAACAGGACTGGAATGCAAGACAGAATTTTCAATGTGCTGTGACTCACGCTGCTGGGAATGGACAGGCTAGTATCACAAAACCACGTAAGCCTTGTGCTAAGTCACATTTAATCAGTTTATATTATTCTATTTGACTTACAACAAGTTTACATGAAAGCACTGATAATATATTCCAAAGGTCTGATGTGTAATGCATTACCAAATACAGTAGCCTTGTTCAGTACAAGTATTTAATTTTTTTTTTTTTTTGTTAGTTGATTTCTGAACAGTAATTAAAATTACTCTTAAATTATTACTGAGCAACACCTAGTGATTGCTACCTCTGATAAGAATACAAGTTAGCTCTATTTAGTTCTCGATTTCTTTGGTTCATGGTTTTGATGTTTTGGGAAGAAACTGAACTAAAACTAAACTTGATTGTAAGTTCACTTCGAGCTGCTTATATATTGACAAAGAATGTGAGCATACCAAGGAAAACATTTTTCAACTTTCAAAAACCATAATCCAAATTTAGTTATGGTGCTTATGTCATATAAATGACATAAAAGTAAATACTTCTTATTAAATAGAATGACATATTGATCAATATTTCTCATTTCTGGAGTTAGGTTAATTGGTGATTCTAAATTGCCCAAAGGTGTGAATGTGACTGCAGATGGTGGTCTTTCTCTATGTGTTAGCCATGTGAAAGACTCACGACCTATCCAGGGTGTACCCTCACTCTCACCCTAAGGCAGTTAGGATCGGCTCCTGGTTCATCCATGGAAGATAATGGATGGATAGATTACTAAAATTATGAATAGTATGTAAATTGAAATAAACAATTCCATGCTTTTGCATTTGTACATTTTTGTACATCTATTTTTTTCAGTGGTGTTTGAGCAGAATCCAACTCTTAAACTAATTTCCTCTCCTGATGAGGACGGTACCTATACTGCCTCCTGCTTTGCCAAAGAGTTTGCACCCAAGGGACATGAGATCAAATGGCTGCAAAATGGAGCAGACGTCACCAGCAATATAGATCTGATCAGTACAGTTTCTGAATCAAAAAAGGCAAATGGAAAGAAAGTGTACAACGCAGCAAGTTTTCTCACAGTAAAATCCAGTGATGTGAATGAAGATACGAAATTCACTTGTGTATTTATGGGAGGCCAAAGTGGATCTTTGAATAAAAGTGACAGCACTCTAGGTGAGTAACTGATACTTTTCTTTGAAAATAATAAAATAAAATTTGTCACTATGATTTTGTAATAAAACAAAGTACGACCATAAAACCAGGTATACCTTATGCTAAGTCGTATAGAAATTGTCTTTAGTACTTTCTTTGATTTCTAATGTACTGACATGAAAGTGTTAGTAACAGATTTTAAAAGTTACCCAAACATTTGAAGGAATTTAAATATAATGCAAAAAAGTTGTAGAAGCAGTTTGATGAGCACTAATAGCCAATAAGTTGAGGTATGACACATTCATAAAGTCTGTATCTTTATTCAGTACATGTTGGGTTTTGTGCAGCAGTAGCAATTATTAGTAAAGTATTACTGCACTAAAGCCAGCGATTGCTACTTTTGAGAAGGATAAGAGTTCGTTCTTGATATGAGTTCTTCTATTTTTGGTTGTTGTTGTTTTTGGAAGAAATGATGGTAGAGGCTAACTTCATTGCAAGTACATTTTGAGTCGCTTATGTTAAAAAAATAATCTGAAAACACCAAGGAATAAGTGTTTCACCTTAAATAAAAAGACATTCATTCCCTCCTTTTGCATTTAAACATTTTTGTACGTCTGTTTTTCAGAGGTGTTTGAGCAGAATCCAACTCTTAAAGTGATTTCCTCTCCTGATGAGGACGGTACCTATACTGCCTCCTGCTTTGCCAAAGAGTTTGCACCAAAGAAACATGAGATCAAATGGCTGCAAAATGGAGCAGACGTCACCAGCAATATAGATCTGATCAGTACAGTTTCTGAATCAAAAAAGGCAAATGGAAAGAAAGTGTACAACGCAGCAAGTTTTCTCACAGTAAAATCCAGTGATGTGAATGAAGATACGAAATTCACTTGTGTATTTATGGGAGGCCAAAGTGGATCTTTGAATAAAAGTGACAGCACTCTAGGTGAGTAACTGATACTTTTCTTTGAAAATAATAAAATAAAATTTGTCACTATGATTTTGTAATAAAACAAAGTACGACCATAAAACCAGGTATACCTTATGCTAAGTCGTATAGAAATTGTCTTTAGTACTTTCTTTGATTTCTAATGTACTGACATGAAAGTGTTAGTAACAGATTTTAAAAGTTACCCAAACATTTGAAGGAATTTAAATATAATGCAAAAAAGTTGTAGAAGCAGTTTGATGAGCACTAATAGCCAATAAGTTGAGGTATGACACATTCATAAAGTCTGTATCTTTATTCAGTACATGTTGGGTTTTGTGCAGCAGTAGCAATTATTAGTAAAGTATTACTGCACTAAAGCCAGCGATTGCTACTTTTGAGAAGGATAAGAGTTCGTTCTTGATATGAGTTCTTCTATTTTTGGTTGTTGTTGTTTTTGGAAGAAATGATGGTAGAGGCTAACTTCATTGCAAGTACATTTTGAGTCGCTTATGTTAAAAAAATAATCTGAAAACACCAAGGAATAAGTGTTTCACCTTAAATAAAAAGACATTCATTCCCTCCTTTTGCATTTAAACATTTTTGTACGTCTTTGTTTTTCAGAGGTGTTTGAGCAGAATCCAACTCTTAAAGTGATTTCCTCTCCTGATGAGGACGGTACCTATACTGCCTCCTGCTTTGCCAAAGAGTTTGCACCCAAGGGACATGAGATCAAATGGCTGCAAAATGGAGCAGACGTCACCAGAAAAATAGATCTGATCAGTACAGTTTCTGAATCAAAAAAGGCAAATGGAAAGAAAGTGTACAACGCAGCAAGTTTTCTCACAGTAAAATCCAGTGATGTGAATGAAGATACGAAATTCACTTGTGTATTTATGGGAGGCCAAAGTGGATCTTTGAATAAAAGTGACAGCACTCTAGGTGAGTAACTGATACTTTTCTTTGAAAATAATAAAATAAAATTTGTCACTATGATTTTGTAATAAAACAAAGTACGACCATAAAACCAGGTATACCTTATGCTAAGTCGTATAGAAATTGTCTTTAGTACTTTCTTTGATTTCTAATGTACTGACATGAAAGTGTTAGTAACAGATTTTAAAAGTTACCCAAACATTTGAAGGAATTTAAATATAATGCAAAAAAGTTGTAGAAGCAGTTTGATGAGCACTAATAGCCAATAAGTTGAGGTATGACACATTCATAAAGTCTGTATCTTTATTCAGTACATGTTGGGTTTTGTGCAGCAGTAGCAATTATTAGTAAAGTATTACTGCACTAAAGCCAGCGATTGCTACTTTTGAGAAGGATAAGAGTTCGTTCTTGATATGAGTTCTTCTATTTTTGGTTGTTGTTGTTTTTGGAAGAAATGATGGTAGAGGCTAACTTCATTGCAAGTACATTTTGAGTCGCTTATGTTAAAAAAATAATCTGAAAACACCAAGGAATAAGTGTTTCACCTTAAATAAAAAGACATTCATTCCCTCCTTTTGCATTTAAACATTTTTGTACGTCTTTGTTTTTCAGAGGTGTTTGAGCAGAATCCAACTCTTAAAGTGATTTCCTCTCCTGATGAGGACGGTACCTATACTGCCTCCTGCTTTGCCAAAGAGTTTGCACCAAAGGGACATGAGATCAAATGGCTGCAAAATGGAGCAGACGTCACCAGCAATATAGATCTGATCAGTACAGTTTCTGAATCAAAAAAGGCAAATGGAAAGAAAGTGTACAACGCAGCAAGTTTTCTCACAGTAAATTCCAGTGATGTAAATGAACGAACTGCATTTATGTGTATTTTTACGGGAGGTCAAAGCACATCTTTGAATAAAACTGACAGAGACAACACAGTTGGTGAGAAACTGGTACTTATCTTCATACAAACATAAGCAGTATGATTTTGTAATTAAAAAAAGTAATGCCATAAAATCAGGTAAGCCAGCTAAGTCATATGGGATTAGTCATTAGTCTAGTAGTTTTAGTCAGTTCTAATGTACTGATATGAAAGTGTTAATGATGTATTAAAAAAAAATTCATCCAAAATTTGATAGAATATTTAAAAATAATGCAAAAAAATGTAGAAGCTGTTTGATAGCCAATACACTGAGGGTTAACACATAATACTTCATCTTTTTTAACAATAAACAATAAAACAATAAAATTGTTTTCTTTTTCTCCTCATCAGATATTTCCACAACTGCCGATCCGAAAAACAGTATGTTACAATTACACGCACATCCATCCATCTATCAGCCTACATTTATACATAACTCAATGTCTTCTATTTAAATTGGTACATAAATCTCTCTATTTAACTGAGTATCTCTTTCAGATGGGACAACAGTGACAGTCCACACCCTCCCACAGCTGCACACTGACCCATTAAATGCTAAAGATGAAATCACTCTGGTGTGTCTAGTCACCAGTACTGTGAATAAAATATATAAAATCGAATGGACAGAAAGTTATGGACAAAATTCTGGACGTTATCTTAAAGGCACCGACGTCCCTCTACAGCAGAGCAAAAATGACAAGAAATGGCGAAGTATGAGTCTTTACACCACCACCAAGGAAAACTGGTACAAAAACAATCCAACCAAAATGTTCACCTGCCATGTCCAACCTGGAAATCTTAAAAAATCAGTGTCCGTCGCCCATGGTAATTCCATAGAATGTGACTGTAACTACTAAGCTTTAAATATGATATTTTGTGCTTTTGTCATTCTTTGTCTGTGAGAGTTTTCTATATGAAAACTTGTGCACTTGTGATGTCAGTCACTGTGAGACAAATGCTTGCTTTTTGTTGTCATCGTGTTATTTTTCAACCTGTCTGAGTCACAGTGTCCAATTGCTTTTATGTGTGATGTCTGTTTGAAATAAACGTTGCATGGAGACTCTTTGGTATATGTGTATATGGAAAACTCGAAACAACACTAAAATCAGACATACACACAAAGTGTTCAATTTTTCACTTTTCCATTAACACTAGAGGAAAATTGTATTACTCTAATAAACAAAAAGAAAACAGATTCACATAGATCTCCTCTAACCAAGTGTACTGTATCTTCCACTTCTTAGATGACTTTTGTGATCTGAGTTGGGACAATATCATCACTGAAGACGATTTTAGCAGCCTGTGGTCCACAGCTTCCTCCTTCATATTCCTCTTCATATTATCTCTGTTGTACAGCATAATTATCAGCCTTCTTAAGGTAAACATTGAGATTGTGTTTTCTGCATTTCAGTTTTATTGAAGACCAAAGTCTGTGAGTTGCAATGTAGGATACATTTAATTACAAGAAAATGCAGTACATGGAAACTTAAAAGAATGCTCAAAGATCAAATTATTAAAATAAATTAGGAATTAAGAATTTAATGTTCTGTTTGCACTTTTTAAAAGCACGCCTTTATCATGAAAATTATATAATTAGCTTTTTAAAGGAGGAAAAAAATGAGTGTAATTTAGAAATGTTTAGGCTATAATTTATTCCAGAACTATCTCCTGTAATAAGATTCATTAAGATGTAAATTCAGGGTAAATTAAGGTTTACTAGTAATAGTAATTAAATGACTGGTCTTAACAATTTTTTTTAAACTTTCTGATGTTTTTATTTTGCAGATAAAGAGATGATAACAAATGGGATGGAATGGGTGCACTTCATTTCTAATCTGTTTTTAAAATGTATTTTTCATTTTATTTTTATGCACATAATCATTTATTTTTATTAAATGGGTGTCATATATAAATACCCAATTAAGAGATGTACAAAAATGTGAAAAAAAAAGGTAAATAAAATGAAACTACATATTAAACTGCATCTTATGGTCATTTCACTTCTGTAAATGCTTCATTAAATTAAAGTTAGGTTGATAAGATTCAGTAAATAACATTTGGCACTTTAAATATTAAACAGAATATGAATGTGAGCATGTAATAAACATTGAAAGCATTTTTGATGTCACTCTATCATTTCTCGAGGTTTCTAAGAATAACACAACAGCATTTGAACTCAATGTACCGTAAACCTCTGTTATCAGTTAGAGCCTGGAGGTTTTGAGTTTCCTGCTGCACCCATGGGACCACACCTGCACAACTACAACTGTGCACCAACCATTACAACTGTGACATCTGGCAGCTTATTGTATTTGCATCTTCATAGTTCATTTGTGTCACATTTCCAAATTCCTGTTATCAATTAAGGCCTGATGTTTTTCAGTTTCTAAACATGTCATCTTTAGAGAGCTGCTTCTCTGCACGTTTGGGGCCACATTTGTATAAGTGGATTTCTTCAAATCCCAAAAAACATCTTGTTAGATTGCACATGTATCCAGCTATAAGTTGATACACATGCCTTCAGAAGGCATACATGCTTGCAGACAAAAAGAATATATGCTCAAAATGTGAACACTCCCTCTTAAACTGCATTCATGAAACTATATAAAAAAACAAAACACCCAGCACGCCCCTGCGGGCGGTTTATCCTTCAAGCTCGGGTCCTCTACCAGAGGC